AAAAAAAAAAAAAACCAGCCTTCAGAGGACATCATCAAACAAAAAAATGAACCAGGTTAAAAGGAAAATCGAGAAAATAAAATGGCTACTGCATTAGTTTCTTTAAGAGACAAACTTAAGCTAAAATGGAGCAGTAAAAGGTGAGAAAGGAAAACAAAGTTAGACTCTAGCAAGCCCATGAGAGCTTCATGTGCCTTTCCATATTTTCCGGCACAAAACAAACATAGATTTCGAAGCCTTTCTTATAATTTATAAATTAGACATTACATTAGAAGATCGAGACAATGATTTGAAAAGCTGATTAAGGAAAAGGTGAGTATACCGGTTCTTAGACAGCATTGAGAATGATCTTTTCCAAAAATATAAAAGAAAATAATTCTGCTCCTCTAATGTTTTTTAAAATCTCATAAACCTCCAGTGAGATCAATACGTTAAATTGAAATATCAGTTTTAATACTAGTAATCTTGCCCCATGAATCGCTCAAATAATTAAAGTGCAAATTGATATATGGAAGTAACAAAAATAATTATAAAATCAAAAACCCAAGAATCAATTAAATGACATCATCCGGAATGTATGTGCACTTATCCATATTAGTAAAAAAGCAGTGCTTCTGCACTCCCTCAAATTTATTGGATGGAAGAGAAATATAAAAGATCTTAATTCAAAAGGCTTGTTTTCAATTTGTTTTATCTTATGAGAAGGAGATAAAATGCTCGAGTCAAAACGAAAGGCAAGAACCCGGATCCAAGCTTAGCTCCCAAATAGGGACAAGTCTAAACCTAAACCTAAACCTAAAGTGAGGACTTTGCCCCATATAGGCGGATGGGATTTTATATTATAATTATCCATCAATATATACATACATCCTAAACGATAAGTTGTAGCTAAAATATATACGAACGGGATGACACAATTGATCTGATATTGAGGGGGAAAAATCATTTTAGTTGTAGAGAGAGAGAGAGAGAGAGAGAGAGAGAGAGAGAGAGAGAGAGAGAGAGAGAGAGAGAGAGTTGTAAACGGATAAGGAAATCAACATTACTGTAAACCACTAAATATAAATGTCATGTAAAAAAATACTATCAACTGTGATGTCCCAACGTTTAATGCTGCAAAACTAAATGACAATTTTAAAGACAAATAAATTCCAGATTAGAAGCAATCCATGAAGAGATAAACAATTTTAGTGTTGTCCCGAAAATCCGTAAAAGAAATAAAATCAGTTCAGAGTAATTACCCTTAAATATACACGAAAACGGAGGAAGAATGGGTGGCTCCCGAGTCTGTAGAACAATGAAGAAAACATGCATATTGAGAGATGCAAAAGAATTGACTAACTAAAGACATGTCAAAAAAGAAAAAGAAAAAACAGCAGAGGATAATAGATAATGACAAAAAAAGGCAAAATAAATGCCCGCAAAACAGATGAACAGACATCAGCGTCACAATTTCAGTTAAATTTCACCCCTGCATCTTCAAGTGAGCTATTTTTATTTGCTCGTGCCCAAGACCAACAATAAGCTAGATGAAAGATAAAAATGCACAATCTTTAAGTATATACTGGAAAGATACCTGTAAGTGAAAAGCAACCAAAAGGATTATGGAAAGAGAATTCAGGGTTTTATCTTTTGAACTGTTGATGTTGTGAGCTTTTGCCCATGTTTTCATCTGCAGAGGCAATGAGATATGTGAGTTTGGAATAAATAGAGCAAATAAAAAGGTCACATGGTTACCTCTACCAAGGAAAAAAACATAAATTGCATATAATTGAGTTTCCAAACCACTTGTCTACAATAACCAGCAACCACTTTCAGTCTACCTAGCCCCCATGAGAATATGCTTATGTAGATGTGTGTGTTTGTGAGTTTGTTCTTTTAGTAGAAAGGATAAATAATATGGTTTTTAATTTGTTTTAACGGAATATGTTAATTTTCTAATTAAGGTGATTGGAAGGAAAATAATATTATCAGGGTTCGGGAGCTGCTTGATGTGTATACATTATGATCAATGCAATATTTGTTGAAATAGTACATTATAACTACAAGATGATTTACGAACTTGTTTTAGTTATTGTTGTTCAATTCATTTACATCATATAGCACACAATATAGTCAATTACTGCAAAAACTAAACATGAAATTGCCAATATTTGTAACATCCCTGCCTAGGGGACTAGGCTCCAACCTGTTGTCAGACTCGGACCAAGACTATTGACTTAATAGCACTAATGTGTCAAACCATCCCACCCAAAACACTTAATATTAAGTTAGAATAACCACTATTGGATCAATCTCTGTATATTATTTTCCATTTTGTTTGTACTAAGCACATTCACATCATCACCTCAAATCAACTAGCAGCATATAAGTCCCATTTTCTATTTACCAATTATGGGTCAACCAACGTTACAGATTGAAACTCTACGATTACACACCCAAAAACGATTTAGCAACAAAAAATACCAAGGTAAACACTTTATATAACATAAAGCTCCGCCAGTTAAACCAAAGTCACGAATCACGTTGCAACTGTCAAATGATGACAAACTATCTCTAGTGAAGTCAGGAGTCACGTATAAACAAGGAAAAAAACAGAAATGGATTCTGTGGAGTAATATACAAGAAGCTAAGAGATACAAACTTTACCAAAAAGCTAAGTTTATGAAACCTTTCATCAATGGAGGAGATAATGTGAATAATCTGAGATTTCAAAACCCCATCTCTATTTTCAACTGATATATCACACTCAACTCCAGTCCCACGGTCGACGCATTTGAGAATAGGTACCTTGGCAGTGGTAATAGGAAGAACTCCATAAACATGCCCTATACCTATCGGAAAACAATTGCATATATGTGAGCTATATATCATTATTAATTGGGTTAATTGCTAAATAAACCTTGACCTTTTTGCGTTTGGCAATTTTATCCCAATCTTGGGGTAATTGCAATATAATCTCGACCTCAATTTATTTATTGCAATCCGAACATAAAACTGATTGGACCTTCAAAAAACTGGTCGATTTGAAGACGGTTCGAATAGATCGGAGCTTATATTTATCGATTCACTCCAAATATAGGAGGATACTCATCACTGGTAGCTTATATTGACGTGGAATTTTCGGCTTTGTGCATAGATATACCTTAAGTATGTGGAATTGTCAACTTGCTACGTGGATGACATAAAAACCCGTGTCAATGGAAGACTTGGACACAAAATCGATCCACAAATCCCTAAAATCAATCACTCCGCACCCAAATTTGCAATAAGTAAGTTGAGTCGAGATTATATTACAATTACCCAAAGATTGGGATAAAATTGCCAAACGCAAAAAGGTTCATGTTTATTTAGCAATTAACCCTTATTAATTTGGGTATAAATGTATAGAAGAATTGCATAAAAACCAAATCCAGAAGGTAAATAAAAAAGATGTCTCCCATGCTGAATATTAAACTCCTTCTAGTAATTATAGCAACATTGTCATTGCCGATAAAGTATTTAATAATTCAGGGCCAATCAGTTACACAAACTACTAGATAATTTTTTATATTTAACAAGATTCTTCCTCTTCACTTGTTCTGTTTTCGTTTTCTTTTGAAGGAAATAAGGCAAACATGAGAATTAGTTAAGTCAGATCAAGAGAAAAGTCACGAAATATTTCGATATTAAAACATTTTAAGAATCCGGAAGTAGAACAACAGTTGGAAAATCTTCCACATCGGAATATCTCCAGAACATCACTACTGTCATATATTAGCATTAGTGTATTACGAACTAAGAACAACTCATACATTTCTTAGCATTCCATATCAACAAAAACCACTCATACTTTGCCTTTGTCGTATTATCCAACATATGCCTACAAAATAAAGACAACCAGCACTTCAAAGAAAAATGAAAAATGGTTTAACATGATAATAGTTGGGCAACCCATATGGAAACTCATTTCGACCTTTGGTAATATCTATTATGCTTTCTAACTAAATAAATTCAGAAACAGCAGTATCATGTGTTCTGTAATGACCAGACATAGGTTAAGAGTAACTATGTCAAGTTTCAAAATTGTTTTATTAAAAAATAATATCGGACTAAGCAAATATATTAAAAGAGTTCATAGTTTTTAGTGCTAAAATGAAGAAAAACTTTTAAACAGTTAAAAGAATAAACAATACCATAATTCCTGACGCAATAGGATATACGATTGCAATAGATAATAAACAAATAAGTGGCATGCTAAAATTATTTACTCTGTAAAGCATATAGCTTTCTTGCAAACTTTCTCAAAGTCTGAATCTTTTTTTCACGCGGAAAAGGATCGCTAGTGCTTCTAAAGTTCACGGAGAGATCTAGATCACTGCTGGTGCTGAAAAGATCCATTACAAAAGAACCAAATTCCACAACCACAGGTATGTTTTTTGTGCGACCTGAAAAAGAAAATAGAATAAAAGGGACCAACTTGATCATATTCCCCACTTTAGGAAACAAAAAAATGAAAAAAAAAAAAAAAAAAAATTAGAGAGCTGTAATGCAAGAACTAAAAAATAAAAAAGTATTTTTAAGAAATACTTGCTAAGAGGGATTCGTTTCGTTCTGTTTTAAGAAATTAAAAAAATAAAAAAAATAAAAAAAAAAATTGAAGTAGAAGCTAATAGATGAATGTAGTAGAAACCCCAGTTCTATAGACAGTAGCATACATATAGCATAATATCATCCGGAAAATGAAAATGTAACATCATCGAGAGGAGACATCTAGGAAAAAATGGAACCAAACAAGTTGAGAAGATCACCATAAATTTCTTCGGCAATCTTATTAAAGACGCAAACCAATTCTCTTCGAACTTCATAATCCTTTGGTTTTGGACGTCGGTTGGCATAGACATCTTCAAGGAGTGGATCCAATGCCAATACTAGCTCCTTAGTTACTTTAAGATTCTGCAATTTCTTCAGTTCAAACTTTCCCGCTTTAATCTGCAGAACTAAAATAAAAAATATTGCCCATAAAAGAACAGCCAAAGACATACCACACAACATTGTAATTATAGCATCTTAGCATTGCTGCAGAATCAAAACTAAGAGTTCGATAATCTCAAATATCTTGTTAGTCGGTCCGAATGGTAGCAAACTGCATAAAAGACTCCGTACAGGTTCTATACATAAATCACGTGGTCAGGAGTCTCAAAGCCTGCTATGTTATCCAAAGATAGCGGGATCACCAAAACTAATTGAATGAAAATAAGACAGAAAATAAACCAACCTAGACTCAACAGTCTTTTCTCAAGTTATATTCCATGCTAACTAAACTTTCATTCTTTCCAACGAAAACCCCGTCTTCCATTTCTCTGGAACTCGTCGCTCGAATAAAAACAACTACATTTGTTCTAAATCAAGCGCTGGAAAAACGAAAGCCTCCCAGTAATCAAAATGCTCTTCAACCCATTTTTCGCTTTAAGGTAACTTTACAACAGAGGGAAGAAAAATAGCAACATTTGATCCCAAGAATCATCTTCCAAATAGAGGTATTAACACCACTAGAGCCATCATTGATGCGTGGTCTCTCGGTTCTTACATACACATAATCCAACAATCAAGGCAAGCATACCCAAGGAAATGTCGATGCTGACAAATTAACTCGAACAAAATTATTTTTCAAAATACAAGCAAGCCCGCATGAAGATCGACCAGCTCTCCATGTAAAATCACACATAACCAAACCCCACATGCATATATGCCCGTGAAAACCTTCAAAAACTCACCTTTTTTCCTCCACGCCATAGCCGCCCAGGAGAGCACTTCAACACTTCAGCTATTCAACAACTTACGAAGAAAGATCAAAAGATAAATTCATCAAAAGTTCAAGCTCAATTGGAATCGATGGAGCCGAGGAGAATTTTTAATTAGAATATGGTAGTAGCATCATATTTTAAGAGTGCTTGATCGGTGGAAGGGGAAAAGGCTTCAATTGAGGTTTATATCGAAAATAAAAGAAAAAATTTAATTAATGTTTATTTCATCTCATATTTTCTCCACAAATTTCCCTCGTCCGGAAAAAAAAATGCTACATATACATAATAAATGTTTGTACATAACACTCACTTAAGTAATAGATAGATATTAATAGAGAAATAGATACTTAATAACACTCAAATTTTATTATATAATATTTCTCTTAACATTTTATAAGATAAATAGAACATTTAGCTCAAACATGTTTTTAAAATCTATATATCTATATATAAAAAGATTTACCATTTTTCAAAAATGACAGGTCAATTTTTGGTCAAATCTCTTTCTTCATTAATTATTTACTATTAATGGCAACTTCTTTTCCCTTTCTTTTTTTCACGTTCAGCTATTAAATGCCCACAAAATGCGGGAGATTTTCAGTAATTAATTTGGTATAAACATTCCCAAAAAATGCGGTTCAATTTCTTATAATGAATACTATTCACTTTAATGATTATTATTCACTTAATTTGTTTTTTTAGATAATATTGCATAAAATTTTATTCGAAAAATGTATGAATACAATTATATTTGATATTTAACTTTTTTTATAACACGTGTATTAATACTTTTTGACATGACATAAAACTATTTTTTTTAATAATTACAATTTTTTAAGCACGTGTTTTTATGGATACATTTTTATTTCTAATTACCTAACATATAAGTTAGTAACACGATTTTGTTTTCCTGTAAAGAATCCCAATTTTAAGGGAAATACAATTTATAATTTTTTTTTATTTAGCTCTATTTTTTATGTTTAAAAAAATTAAAAATTTTATTGTTTCCATCTGTTGGGACTCTTTTAAAGGGTTTTATATTCTAGATATCTAAACAAAATTAGAGTTATAATTTCACATAACCTCTGTTTGTTGTAAACAAATCCAATTTATATGGAATTCTAAAATTAAACATACTTTGTAATCAGCTATGATTTTCATAACCTTTTTTTATGTTTAATTAAATTTAAAATTATATTGTTTCCAAGTTTTGGGATTCTTTTTTTCAGTTTTAGCATTTTTTTTTTTTTTAAAAAAAAATTATGAAAATCTCCACATACGAGTTATTATAAGATGTAGTGGTTGGAAACAAATCCAACTTATATGGTATTATAAAATTAAACATATCAGTTTTGATATGTAGATCGATAATTTATATGTTTAATTAAATATTAATTACACGATTTTCAACTCTTGGAACTCTTTATTGTTTTCAAATTTTAATAATGTACATATTCTTATAAATACGGTTCTTCTAAATTAATTCTCATCTACAGATTTACAAAAACGTTTTCCATTCGGCTTTACCCAAATTCTACTTGCATTACCGTAAAAAACAGCCATCGGCACTGAAATCTCGAATAATATATTAGAGCAAGCTCCTTGCTTGCAGAAATTTATGATTTGACAATGCATTTATCCTGAAAATTTAATTTAGAAAATCACATTTTTTTTCATTGTTGTGCACATATACTTTGTAATCAGCTATGATTTTTATAACCGTTTTTTTACGTTTAATTAAATTTAAAATTATATTGTTTCCAAGTTTTGGGATTCTTTTTTTTTCAGTTTTGGCATTTTTTTTTAAAAAAAAAAATTATGAAAATCTCCACATACGAGTTATTATAAGATGTAGTGGTTGGAAACAAATCCAACTTATATGGTATTATAAAATTAAACATATCAGTTATGATATGTAGATCGATAATTTATATGTTTAATTAAATATTAATTACACGGTTTTCAACTCTTGGAACTCTTTATTGTTTTCAGATTTTAATAATGTACATATTCTTATAAATACGGTTCTTCTAAATTCATTCTCATCTACAGATTTACAAAAACGTTTTCCATTCGGCTTTACCCAAATTCTACTTGCATTACCGTAAAAAAAACAGCCATCGGCACTGAAATCTCGAATAATATATTAGAGCAAGCTCCTTGCTTGCAGAAATTTATGATTTGGCAATGCATTTATCCTGAAAATTTAATTTAGAAAATCATATTTTTTTTTCATTGTTGTGCACATGTCCAATAAACTAAATTTAGCGTTATTATATTCTTTGTATTTTTTACATTTATATTGCACAAGTTAAAATCTAAATGCATATTTATCATCAAATCCTATGAGCTTATGTCTAATGATGACTAACATGATATATCTGATGATAAAAATAAAAAATAAACCAACTTTGAACAAAAATTAAGATAGATAGCCTATTTATAAACAATTAATAAAAAACAAACAAACCAATTTTGTGTCGAACCTGAAACATTGCAATTATTATTTTCAAAACAATATAGAAATTATTAAAGAAAATTTTACATTTATTTTACAGTCTTATTTTGCTTTATTCGATGGTCAACCTAATATTTGTTGTATGTAATTTTTTGTTTTATTTGGAGAAAATTGTGAAATACTATGAAATACGAAAAAGGGTGAGGGAGAGAAATTAGAGGGAATCATTAAATTATGTTTCTATCTATAAATTATTCAACTCATTACTAAGGAAGTTACATGATTCAAACTAAAATATACTTTATTAGTATAGCTAGGAATGTACAATAACTATCTTCATAAAATAGGAATGAAAAAGTTAAACTTAGAATAAAATATAATTTCTAATATAGTTGGAAATTAGAAAAATTGTCCAAGCGTTAGGGCAATTTTTTTGGCGACAACAATCAGCATCTGCAGCCCAGGATAGAAGCCCAACAAGGGAGCCCAGTTGAGTGAGGCCCAATTTTCGCAGCCCTTTGTGCAGCCCGCGCCCGGCCGGAGTCGGTCTGTGCTCCTCACAACGAGTTAAACAATAATCAAACTCATATGTTGTATACAAAGAGGTTTTTAATAATATAAGATTTTTTAGTGACGAACATTTTATGATGAATAATGTTCGTATGTATTAAACTCTCATATATCCTAATGCATGTTAAATTATAATATTCTCTAAATTTATATATTCGTACATTGCACGGGATACGCACTAGTTTTATCCAAAAGCTCTAGCGAAAATGAACTAGTCAACCAACTCAATCCCTAATATATTAATTCAAATCGTGTTGAGCCTAAATGGCAGGTTCGCACGCTTTAAAATGCTACATGTCACAATATCATATTTTGTATTCGGTTTTGTTATAGAGTCATCGGATGGCTCGGCTTATGGAGTCATCCATTTGTTACTAGCAAATGATGTATTGACACATGTCCTGCAATAAATGCACATTGAAAATGTTTCAGTAGATAAATTAATGGATTGCTCCATAAGGGAGTCATTCGATGGCTCCATAGGATTTCTGATTTTGTATTTAGGTTCGGTAAAATATTAAAAACAAAATTGGCTTGGAAAGTGGAATAAATAATTTTTCCACCGTACATTATTACATTACATCAATATCTTTCGTTACCAAATTTGTCTTGAATTTAAAGATCACACAAATCGTTATTATCCGATTACATTTTACTAAGAATTTATCCCATTCATCATTTTTTTAAGTTGATAAATTTAGTCCATTGAGTCTTTGACTTTGTTTGCGTGATATGATGAACTAAAATTATATATTATAATTATATTGATAATATAATTAATACAATCTTAACTAAGCACGTCCCTTATCTTAATTCTCATCAATTTTAGTCGTTATCTTCATTATCATCCTTTATCTTATTTTTTCAAGTTGATAAATTTGAACCCATTTATTATATTTTTTATTTTTTCAAGTTGATAAATTTTAAGTAGAACTAACCACAATGTAATATGTACAAAAAAATGTTTGAGAATTTCAAATAAAATACTAGTTCTCGTGTAGTACACAGGTATCGTACTAGTACATTTTTATTGCAGATGTACAACTTATATATTCTAATTAGCAACACAAATCAATAAGGACATTTTTATTTGCATAAATAATAGGACCGACAGTTTTTTATTAATTGAGGGAGAGCTTTGCCGGCCTTGTGGTCCTACTCGGCTCGATTCCGGATTAGTCGATTCCCCTGTGGATCCGAAAACCGGAAGGTCCCTGTACCAAAAAAAAAAATAAGGTTGCATCAATTTTCTCCTCTCCTCCATATTTCTTTCTTCTTCTTCTTCTTTTTTTTTTTTTTTTTTAATTCTTCTTCATCTTCTCATCCCCATTTTTTGTCTTTTTTTTTTTATTCTTCTTCTTAATTCAACCGCCATCCAACCCCGCCAGTAACAGTCAATGGTCCTCCATAGAAGTTTATCAGGACCCAAATTAGGCTCGCTTGAACTCAATGTTTGAGATCATGCAACCGTTGCCAACAGTCGGAGAGGACTTTCAATCCGAGACATAAGGTTGTAGGAAACTGGGACATTGCCACTACTCCTTAATGTATGTATACAGTCGTGGTCACCGCCTACTACACCGTTGGGGTTTCTTTGCCACAAACCTTAGTCGTAAACATATCGCCATCTTAATTCGACCCCACCAATTATCTCGAATATGGTACCATCATCGCCATTTGTCCACAGAAGTTGTTTATCTCTGTCGAAGCTCCACAAAAAAATAACAAACTGATAATATTAAAATCTCAGTATGTATTCTTATATTGGTTTATAAACATATAATAAACATTGTGCAGAGTTTACGAAGTTTGAAACCGTAAGAGTTCAATCACAATCTTTAGATTCATTGCGCTTAGGATTAATTCGTAGATAATTCGAACTTGTATATCAATGTTCACCTAACCCTAACAAGATGTGTTTTTTTCTTCGAAACAATAGATATCATAATAATAAAGAACACACAATTACAACTAGACATCAACTAGCTGGAGGACTACTCGGGGATAGTGTAGAAGCAACTACGCTAAACTCACTTACAATACAACACGACTAAAACACCTCCCAAAGGGAGAATATCCGCTCCACAACTGGAGAAAACTACACCCAACCAAACACTGGAAAAGAAACAAACAAAGAAAAGAAAAACAACACGGAGAAAACTTACACATACCACTACAAACAACACACAAAAGAAAACTCGAAAAAAAAAAAAACAGAAAGACGAAAAAAGAAAAAGAAAAAGAAAAGTTCAGGCCCTCCACAACCGCTAGCAAACACCGAGCCACACTCGCGAACGTCCCGACGGGAAAAAAATAGACTCAGACCAGATCTAGAAAGTACAAACTGCAAACAAGGCCTAAATAAATTTGGACCCACAAGCCGAACCTCCTCCTACCGACAACACCCCGAACCTCACGGCGAGATCCAGCTTAATAGACTCCCCAACACCAAACCGGTCGGTTACACACCACCGTCGGCAACTCAAAGCCCCACCGTCAGACCACCCGCCCAGCAACAAGATGTGTGATTAGGGCCTTTTAAGTACATTAAGAAATATGGTAATGTGCCACATTTAGTTTAGTTGTTACTAATTGAACTTTTGTAACCAACCACCACCAAAAAAAAACACAAAAATGGTGTGCTTATGTATGTTTTGATTGAGTAGTTAACTTCAGATGAAAGAATAAACCAAGCATCATCCTTTAGCAATCACGGATGCCTTGGTACAAAATAGAAACCAAAGACAGATGGTCCCCATGAAAAGCAAGACAACAAAAGGAAATGATCAACTAATAAACCAACATCTTCAATTATCTTTTTACAGCCTCTGATAGAACATTACCCCTCCAGCCAAAAAAAGAGGCCCTCTTTGTACCAAAAAAAAAAA